CAATTACATTTCGTTGTGAAACACGCAACTTTACGAGCAACGCGCATCAACATGGTTAAGCCGTAAAAGGGTGATTTAACTAGATAATTTCGTCTAGAAAGTGGCAACCTGACTGATGAAGCAGCCTAACGGAGCCGAAGGTCATATTAGGGACATCTTTATTTTTAAAAAGGGATGGAAAATACACAAATAACTTAAAAGTTAATGTCATCAGAGATGTACTCTGCGCAGATGCTTGTCACACTTTTCCAACAAGAGAACCAACCGTCAGCCTTAGGCCAAATTTCGCCGACATTTTATGGGTTACGTACGAGAAAATATATCAATTAATTTGACTATTAGAAAATAAGATAGAAGATACGTGGATTATATACTCAAGGTTGTTGGTAACTAGGAATAATTTGCATACGGAGGTGGAATTCAAAAGGAAAATAGATCATTGTATCTAGCGAGCTCTGCTTGGCCTTCTCATACACAGTGAGGATGTTGGTTCAATAGCAAACTCTGTTTTCTACAAGCATTATGGGAAGTGCACTACTTATATTTTATAAGTGTTGTGCCAATACAATGGAAATATTTGGAGAGATGGAAATATGCGGTGATATGTATATCAGCACCAAATGTCCCGGCTCTTTTATCCTACTCTGTTCAAACAGTTTGAACATTGGTACGCGCCCAAATGCAGCTTTTTCTTAGTTAGTTGCGGATCGAAATCCCGCACATGCGAGTTGAGTAACAGGATTGAAGTCATCGTGTCAAGCTGACTTCGACTCTCAACAGCATGGAAGCAACTGCATGATTAGCGTCGACTAGTATTAGAGAAGCATCACGGAGTATAACCGAAAGCACCAAATTCTTCACCCAAAAATTCACTATTTCATTTTATAGTTTCACTCACTGGCTTCCTTTGGGCAAATTTGACCTCGTTCATTGCTGGATTCGTCATCCCTATTGCTTGGTGTATCTCATTCTCTAAATGCCTGTCGGACGAGGAATCTCATGCGGTGTGGGCAGCTACTCTAGCCATCGACAGTCCTCTGACACCTTGGCCCGAACTCTACTTCCGGCAAGCTTTCTCCATCCTGTTTTGTGTATCTGAAATGTCAGGCCGTTTTCCGAAAAGTTATTCGCTGAAACTGCCACCTGCGAGATTGCTGTAGTTCATTCTCACAGAATCGGGAAGACATTTCGGCAGGACTGACGTTAGAGGTCTTTCCTGCCTTTGAAAATAACAATAACCTACTTTCATATTTTCAGTAACCCGTATTTCCTTTTTTAGCTAAATTCCACCAATAGAAGGTGGAAGGTCGAATTTTCCTCAATTGGCATCCGTGTTCTGCGCAACCGTAGTTTATACTGATGGAATGTTATTCTATTGAGTATATCGAAACAAACATACTCTTATTTAGTTTATTACTTTTTATCAATGTCGCCACAAGTAAATGTTCAACTACGTTCACTAATCAAGCATTAAAAGTCTGACCACAAAATACGTTAAGCAGTGGGGCGGTGGGACTATATATTAAGAGGGCCCTACAAGTCAGTTTTGACAAAATTTTCTTGCATGTCTCCCATACTCCGCTGAGCCTCACAGTGAGGCAACCAGTGACAAGAGAGGATAACTGCACAATTAAAAATCTCACAACTTAGCTGAGTAAAACATCTGCCGCGCTCTCCTTAGTCCAATCAACCGACGGTTCAACATTTTTATCCGATGAGGCTTACAATAGGCCAGCGCAGGGACTTAGGCGTGAAAAACGTTATATTAAAATAACATTTGTGCTCCATCTACAGCTCTCTCTTCCTCATTATCCGGGCCCGGTGTCGTGACCGAGTGAAAGAGATCAGAGGCGGCTAGGGTGCAGGTGGCAGGCGCGGCCGTAGCCGCCCCAAAGCGTACCTGCCTCGGTTCCCAAGACGGAAAACACACTGACCAGATTATAGCCCAATTCTAAGTCCACTACTTTTTCACAATCTCCAAAAGAAGAGAAAGAAGAAGGTACGAGGACATGGACCGATTTATTTTGAGACT